ACGGAGGACAGCCGGCGCCTCCAGCCCTGCCGGCCCGGGGGCAGCGCGCCCCTACCTGCCCCGGCTCGGTACCAAGACGGGCCCAGGTAGGCATCCGTGGGGACAGCTGGAAGCGGCTGCGTGACGCGTGGGGCCCCTGACAGCAAGCAGAGGGCCGGCGGGCGCGGGCCAGGGCCTGTGGATGGGGAGCAGCCAGCATCCCGGAGGCGCTCCTCAGAACCTGGGTCCTCCCCATCGGGAGCACGTCTCCCTGTTGCCTTTCCTGTTCTGCGCTCCCACCCCTCTCTCCACCAGGGCCACAGGTCCCCACTGTACAAATGCCCCCTCTCTGGGGAGGGGGGCTGAGGGGGGCTTCCAGGAGCTCACAGTGCCAGTCCTCNCTGGCCCCTGTGGTCTCTGGCATTGGGCTCCGGTCAGGGAGGAGGCATCTTTCCCCTTTTTTCCCAAGCTCAGGTACTCCTCCTCCTGGCTCTCCCTACAGAACTAGATCCCAGATCTCCCAAAGGCCCCCTGTTCTACCCCCAGAAAACTCAGGGTCTCTGTGCTGGGGTACAGGAGAGCAGGTCCCGAGTGGAGGTGTCTGTGGCCCTCCCTCCCCCAACTTCTGTCCCTCTGCTGCATCCCTCCTGGGGACAGTCTCCACTGCTGCAGGGGGAGGGGGGAGCTCTGGCACTGCGGAGGAGCCTCAGCTGCTCACACAGGGGTGGGGCTGGGGCCTGGGGAGGAACTGGGCAGCACTGCCCGGGCTCTAGGCAGAGGGGCAGGACAGGCCTGCCTGGTGCAGTGGGTGGGGTGCATCTGGCCCAGCTTTTCCCTGGACAGAGCTGAAGGGCCTTGGCCTGTATGAGGAGGTGGTGCTAGCCTGAGGGGGGCAGAGGGTTGGTTGTGTGCAACCTTGAGCGTGCTCAGGGTAGGGGAGGCAAAGGCTCTGCCCCTTCTCGGGCCTGCCTTCTCTCCCCAGCACCCCCTGAGAACTTGGCTGAGCCCTGCACCACATTGTGGAGCTTCTTCGCCTGGGCTCTTGGGGTCAGAGGACCTTGTGCAGGAGCTGAGGGGGAGTCCCTGGGCCTTTGATGGGGGAGGAATACCCACCGAGAAGCCGATGTGGTTCCGTTCATTTCTGCAAATGTTAGTTGCACCTGCTGAGTATTAGGCATCTCCCGCTTTGGGGTTAAGGGCCTGGGAAGTAAAAGGGAATCTCAGGTGGCAGGAGGGGGGCGGGATTTGCCTAGAAGCTGGCGGCCATGTAACCCAGGTACACATCATCGTCTGCTCCCTGTTTCTCTGAACCCCATCCCCCTCCTCACCAGGGCCTGGGGTGGCACTGGCATCCGCCCTGCCTCACCTGCTGCAGCCGGGCTGGCTTCCATTCCAGCCAGAACAGGGGCCTTGTAAGCCTGGAGAACAGGCTCTTTTGGCAAGAGCTAGAATGAGCTCTCCCTTCCCCAGACCCTCCAGGCCTGGCCCTGACCTCCTCCACTCCCAGCCTGCCTTCTTTAGGCCACATCTCCACTCTCTAATTTTTTCCTGTCCTACAGGTCCCTAGGGTCTGTCTTTGCTTGCCCCGCCTCTCCCCTGCACTCTGTTGCCCCCAGATTCTAGGGCAGTGAGCCCACCAGAATGGCACATTTTCAGGCCCCACCCCATCACATCCCAGTGGGCCCACTGCCCAGGTCACTTGCATGGAAGTGAGGTTAGAGCCCCAGCCTACCCCCAGCAGCCTTCCCCTAGTCAGGGAGCTGAAGGGCGGCCCAGGAACACTCAGAGGCCTGGTGCTCAGCCAGGAGCTGGGTCCTGGGCCTGGAACAACAGTTTGGCCCCAGGCTGGCCCCTCCTTATGTAGCCCCCAATGCAGGAGCTCTGGGGAGAGTAAGGAGACATGTCCACTTGGCTCTTCATGGGCAACTCAGGGATTCAAAACTGAGCTTCCATCTTCTCCAAATTGTTCGTCCCTCCATGCTCTCCACCTGCTAGCTTCTCAGCCCAAACCCCGGAGCCATCCGTGACTCCTTCTCACAGCCAGACCATCAGCAAATCCTGTTGGCTCGAATGTCACGGTATTTCCAGATGCCAACCACCTCTCACTGCCTCCAGCGTTACCGCCTGGGCCGAGCCCCCAACTTCCCTCGCCTGAGGGACAGCAGGTTAGCGGGTTCCCTGTTTTCCTGTTCCCTGCAGTCGGCTTTTCTCTTGCAGGCAGGGACCCTTTAAACCAAGGCCTGTCACACCCTCCCTCTTCTCAAACCCCGCAGAGGGGAATCAGGCTCTCACTGGGGCCTACAAGGCCTCATGTGACAGCATCCTCTCACTGCCTCCCTGCCCAGCCTCCCCGGCCTCCCCGGCCTCCCCCCTCACCCCCTTACTCACTCTGCTCCAGCCTTAGGTACATGTCACCCTCAGCCCCACCCTCAGCTGTGGCAACCAGGGGGCTTTGCACTGGCCCTTCCCTCTACCTGGATGCTTTTCCCCCACATAGCTGCATGGCTCCCTCCCTCCCTTCCTTCAGGTCTTTGCTGAAATGCCTTCTCGTGTGTAAAATAGCCTCACTCCCAACCCCA